GAGGAAAAATTATGAAGTATAAGTAATAAAAAATTGTAAGATTTTAAAGAGAGAAAAAATGATTTTTTTTTTGATGAAATATTTTTTTTAGAAGTTTAAGAGAAGATAAAAATTAAAAGTTTTTGAAGAGAAAAAATTGTTTTTTGATGAGAGAAAAAAATATTTATGACGTTTAAAAAGATAAATGAAGTTTTTTTTGATAAGATAATTTTTTTGAAGTTTAAGTATTTTTTTTAGAAGTTTAAGAGAAGATAAAAATTAAAAGTTTTTGAAGAGAAAAAATTGTTTTTTGATGAGAGAAAAAAATATTTATGACGTTTAAAAAGATAAATGAAGTTTTTTTTGATAAGATAATTTTTTAATGAGAAGTTTAAGAAATAAAAAAGTTAAATGTTTCTGAAGAGAGAAAAAAACTTATGAGATAAAAGTTGTGAAACATGAAAAGTTCTCTCTTTGATAAGAGAAAAAAATGATAAATGAGAGAAAATGAAAAAAAAAAGAGAAAAAAAAATATTTTCAGAAGTTTAAGAAATAAAAAGCGAAAAGTTTTTTGATGAGAAAAATTTTTACTTTTTTGTTGAGATAAACATGAAAAGTTGAAAGTTTTTTTTTTTGTGAAAAATATGGAGAAAGAAAAAACTTGTAGGCTGTGTCTGAGATTCAGGAAGAATCTAAGACACAATAGTTTTTTTGGATGTTGTGTTTGAGGGCGTCTGTAGTACGGTCTGGTGTTCAGCTGGGTCCACATCAGAGACAGAATATCTGCTGAACACCATGAGCGACTGGAGCCGCAGGAAAACCCAGAACAACCCTTAAACACAGACCTCCTCACAGCGCCATTCTGTCAGCTACAGACGACCTCAGACACCAGAGGACGCAGAGAACACCAGCGCTCGAGGAGAAAACAACCAGACGTTACATACTAAAAACAGCAGTTTACTTCAGCTCAGTGTGTTTTACAAAGCGTTTCCAGTCACAGAAATACAGGGAGGAAGGATGGAAGGAGTAAAAAATATAGAAACGGAACTGACTTTTTTTCCTAAAAATTCAGTTTTAAACTTGCAATTGTGAGTTTACATCTCATAATTTTGACTTTTTTTCCTTAGAGTTCTGAGTTTCTCACAATTCTTTTTAGTTTCCACCACTGAAAAAAAAATTTAATTGCAACTTTTTCATCTCACAATTCAGACTGTTTTCCTTCCACTCGTGACTTTATTTTATGTCTCACAATTCAGACTTTTATATCTCAAGTTTATATTTCACAATTTCATGTTTTTAAAGGGTTAGTTCACCCAAAAATGAAAATTAGCTCATAAATTACTCACCCTCAAGTCATCCTAGGTGTATATGACTTTCTTCTTTCAGACGAGTCCAGTCGGAGTTATATTAAAAATGGTCTTTGATCTTTCAAGCTGTTTCATGGCACTCAGCGGGTGTTGCATGC